TGCCATTTCCCAGGTATGTACTAAGTCAATGGGGACAGGAAGTCTGCCTCCACATTTCTCAAAGCCTAGAAACAAAGACAAGATTCACATGTCTTGACAAAGATCAAGGTGTAGACTGCAGCTTCTTAGGCTCTGGGATAGTGGGGTTTGAGAGAAATTTTGCAGTGGCAAAAGGCCTCTGAATATGTAGCGATAAACATTATTTAAAATCAAGAGCATAACCAACAAGAAGAGTTCCAGCGGGTTTGCTGTGTGGCATCACACAGCTCATCAAAGCCTTCAACACACCAGCGCAGACCCAGGCTCTCTACTCTGTGCATTGCCCGTGTCTTCTGTGCACTTTCCTGCTCTTACAGAAAGAAACCTTTCCAGCGCTCCTACTGCCACCTCTCAGATCTAAGTATCAAATTAGCCTACCTTTGAACTGGAGTGTGCTATATGCAGTGTTTGGTTTTATAAACTATTTTTTTTTTGAGTTGTGGGCTTGAATTTCATAAAACAAACAGACAAAAACCTTACTTCTGACTTGGGTTTAACATAGACTTTCTGGTCACTTCGGAAATAGTCCTAAATATACTTCTACTATTTTGTACTATGTATTTATGAAAAGAGTTTTCCACATTGACGATTAGTAAATCAAAATGTCAATCATCTCTGTAATATAAAGATGTTCTATGTCCTGTAATATCAAATATTCAGCCACGATTTAATTATTATTGTAAAAATAAACGAGCACCATCTCATTAGTATGCACATTTGCTTTTGTCTTTAAAATAATGGCAAATTTATATGCATTCAAAATAATTTTTAAATAAATTCTACTTTGATTTGTGTTATATACTTACATAACCAGGATCATGTAAAAGGCTCTGGTCAAAAAAACATGAGAGGAAGCTATTTTTAAGAAACCCTGGTATAAATAAGCACAAAGCCTGTGAAGGTGAGTTTTACGTGTCAACTTGACACAGTCTAGAATTATCTGAGTGACAGTTTCATGAAGGATTCAGGTTATCTGCAGGCATGTTTATGGGAGGTTGTCTTTGACTGAATTATCTGCTGTGAAAAGACTGTATCCACTGTGGGCAGCACCATTTCCTAGGCTTGGGGTCCTCAATGAGTAAGAATGAAGAAAGTGAGCTAAGCACTAGAAGCATGCATCCATTCGCTTTCTCTCTACTCTTGGCTGTGGATATAACTAGTTGCTTCATGTTCCTGACTTGATTTCCTTCTAATGATGGACTAGAACCTGGAATTATAGCTGAAAAACCCATTTTTCTTTAAAGTTGCTCTTGCCAGAGTATTTTTTATGACATCAAAAAAGAAAAAAAAGAGAGAGAAAGAAAGAAAGAAAGAAAGAAAGAAAGAAGGAAGGAAGGAAGGAAGGAAGGAAAGAAAGAAAGAAAGAAAGAAAGAAAGAAAGAAAGAAAAAAAGAAAGAAACCAAAACAGAGCTTTAATGGAACATGGGAAAAGAGCCTGGTAAGATAACCAGAGGCTTAAGTGATGAGTGGAAATGACCCAGGCTTTACTATCCGCCCTGCCCCCTGCCATGTAAAAGATGCTGAAACAGAGAGCAGATAGGGAAACACCGCATTTGAAGTGGTTCCACAGCCATGTGTTGAATATTTGGTTCTCAACTAGAGGTGCTGTTTGGGGATGTTGTGGATCTGATCTACGTGAGTTTCTGAGGAACAGGCCTTGTGGGCTACAGCCCAGCTCTGCTTTGCCCAGAGCTCTCTGCTTCTGATGTTCAACAAGACATTAATAGCAGGACTTGCTTCAGAGACATAATGAGAGAATAAAATTAGGTAACCAATACTAAGTCCTCAGAACACTGAAGTACACTCATGGCTGAGTGTCAACTTCATGGTTTTTTTTTTAAAAATCATAATGTTATATAATTGGGACCAACAATTATCTTATCAGTAAGATAACAGTAGCATTCAGTGTGTGAGTGTCCATTAGGACATTAACATAACATAAATGTAGTCTTTCTGCACGTATTTAGACAGGATCTTCTTCTGTAGCCCAGGCTGGGCTCAAACTCATGATTCCCGGGCCTTAGACTGCCCAATGGTGGGATTATAGGCATGAATCACTATGCCCAGCTTATATTTAGTGTTTTGAAACAGCCCATTCTCATTTTGCAGCATCTGAAATGTTTTGAGACAAAATGCAAGTTTTCATATGTCTTTCTCAATGTTTTAAGGAAACTGTTCTTGCCTTTTCCAGCTTAGAAGATGACCCTGAAGTTCACCTCAGGCAATCTTGACCTCCAAAGCACCTCAGTTGGAATGTTGCTTCTGATTTCATGTCCTGAAATTTTGACACCCTGTCATCTCTCCGACAAGGACTTTGTGGTTACAGGGAACTGTCACTGTCCCAGGTAACTCAGAGCCATTTTACAGAGATCCCCATCTGAAGAATTTTAAACATTTAATCACAAGTTCTCTACTGAGCATGTGTCTATCTATCAGGAAGGAAATCAGTAAGTCAAGGAGACAGCTGCATGCCCAGGTTGACTGCAGCCACACTAGAGAAGCATCCTAGTAAATCTCTAAAGTTTCATCATTAATGTCCAATTCTCTGGATTTATAATTCTGAATTCTATAAAGGTTAAATTACATGCAATAGTTGTTATATAGAGCATAATTACTAAGATGTAAGAGGTTTAGGTTGTTTCCCCAAAACACCCATTTATTTTGAAGTCCTAATCACTTCAAAATGTGATAAACACAGTTAAGATGAGGGGTAGGAGGAGATGGAGGTTTTCATAAGACACACACAAGGATATCTGGTAACAATGAAGGCAAAGACTAAGGTTACACAATGGCAAACCAAGGACACCTTAGCTAGCCAGCAAACTCTAGAAGCTAGGAAGAGGCCAGGAAAGAGTCCTACACATGGCAGAGTTGGCATGGGTCCTTCTCTGCGCCTCCAGTCTTCAAAAATGTGCAGACATTTCTGTTGTCTAAGTCACTCTGTGGTGTTTGTTGTACCAACCAGGGTAGAAACACATGAAAAAGACTGATGATGACATGGTAGAAAGGTGAATGTGACTCAAGGGAAGACACAGAGAGAAAGTCTTCGTGAGGCACATGTACCTGAAGGATTATTACCCCAAATCACAAAGCATTCTAAAAGCTTTCCAGTAAACAGGCAAAGAGCATGCTCCAAATGGGCGAAAGATCTTGGCAGATACCCTGCCCAAGGAAATACATGTGAAAGAGGGGAGGAGATGAGAAGAGGCTCAGTACCAGATGTCTTTATTGAACTGCAAGTTAAAACCACAGCGTGGCAGGGGTACCACTCAAGAGTCAATAACCAGCTGGTTGAATACTACTCGTTCCCACGGAGAAATAAGGCCAGTTAGATTACATTACATAGGTTATACACAAACATCATGAGCACAGAGCTCTGAGCTACAGGAGGATGATCAGATAGCTTTTTTTATACATGGCAACAGGCGTTGTACATTTATTCAGCTACTTAGGGAGGCAATTTGCCAGTACCTAGCCCAGCAGGTCAACTGCATGTCCCATGAAAATGCAATTATACTTTTACTAGCCACAGCAGTAAACCTTACATATGAATAGAACAAAAAATAAAAACAAGAATGGTGATGATTGCAGTTCTTACGTTAAGAAGCTGAAAAAGCCCACGTGTCTCTAATAGTAGGATGAATAACTTAGGCAAAAACATTATACAGCAAAGAAAACAGATGGCCTAGAGCCACTTTGCAAAATACTGGATTCACTAAGAATGAAAAAGAAATGGACAGAACCCAAATTCATACACTGATAAAGTCTGTTCAATGAGGGGAATGAGTTTCTTCTGGGAAGGGAGAGGACAGTGGTAATCTCTGTATGGCCATGTGAGGGACTTTCATATACAGAGAATGCTCTTAATCTGATTGATTACACATCCAACAGTCACTATATGAAGACACACACAGACCATTGTTAATGATACATAATATTTACACACAGAAAAAAAGGTCAGTATACATGCTTTAGCTCAAAAAGATTTTTTGATGAAGTTATAAAACAATGGATTGAATGAAGACAGGAAACAGATCAAGAGCTGCTAGATCAAATAAAAGCTGGGGATAAAGAAAGCAGATGAACACAGAAGAGGGAGAGGCACCTGGGTTACTTATGAAACTGTCCTATACCTGCACATACATTGGCAACTCACAGACTCCCAAATCCAAAAAGCAGGCCTCAGTAGTAACTTAGAAAAGGTAATGAATTAGTTTATTTTCATGTCTGGGCAAAGTTAATTATCTGTGGGATTAAAGTTAGGCTTTTTTTTTTGTCAATCAGAAAGAAAATTAATCAGTCTATATATTTGCACTGAGAATACAATGCATATTTGTTTGGATAGATAAGTTGATGGGCAGGTAGATGGGTAGCTAGATGGCAGATGGATAAATAGAAAGAAAATAGGTAGATGGATAGATCAATGTTAGATGGATGGATGGAAGAACAGACAGATGATAGCTGTACAGGAATCAAGTAAGAAAACCACAAAGTTTCCAACAAATAAATAATTAGAATGGACTTTTATGCAGTAGGAAGATAGAAAGCTTATTTGCTCAAATATTAATCTTTTGTTTCATTTATGTTTACTTTGAAGTGCTAAAGATGGAAAGGAGGCCTCATATATGCTGGGTAGTCATGGAGCCACATCCCAGTCCACACTCCCATGTATGTAAATGTTGCCTGATTTCAAACCATCCAAATATTTAAATGTACACACAAGTAAATACAAGAGAGTGGTTTTAAAAGTTTTTAAAAGCTGAACCTTCCTCCTCAGAGAAAATGTGATATTGTCTGCCTCTCCTTGCATGAGGTCATTTAACTTTTCCATGCCCAGCTTGAATGTCCTCGTGTTTTGCAACATAAAGGATAGCACGAGCCAGTGGCACTGGGTAGGCAAAACAGGTTTGTCTGTGCAGCTGCTGGCACAAAGTAATGGCTCCTATGAATGGGTTCTCACCACGTGTGCTGGAACTTGCTCGGCTTTTGCAGCAGGAGTTCCGGGTCTTGGATAGAACTGGTTGATGAAAAGGCTTGGAAATTTGTACTCTTCAACAAGTTTCAGTGTTTCTTGAAAATCCTGATCGGTTTCTCCAGGAAAACCACAGATAATATCCGTAGCAATCGTTATTCCAGGAACCCTGGAGAAGAAAAACAGACAAAAATGTAAAAAACAGTTGACTGTGAGCCAGAATTATTTTATTTCCTTGACATTTTAAATGGCATTTCAAAAATACAGTTTATTTTTTTTAGGACAGAGCACTTGAAAACAGTTTTGAAACGCTCTAAATACTAAGAGATACAATGAACTATAGTGGTCCCTGGTCATCCTCAGAGGCATCCATTTTTAATGCTTTTAGACATGGTTTTGTTTTGTTTTCTCCTCTGTCTCTTAAGATAGATGCTTACTCTGCTGTTTCTGGATTTGTTGGTTTTTTAAAGGCAGTATTTAAGGGACTTTTACATTACGGTAAATGAACTAGCTGGAATTATACTCTAACCCTATGTTCTTAACACTGTATTCACGGCACTTCCATACAAACTGCAGAGACAACTGGCAGACCAGGTTGTTTCTCAACATTTAAGTTTTCCTAAGAGCAGTAACTGAGTCTTTGGAAAGTTTGCTTAACATTTTATTTCCCTAAACTGCTATCTTCTCAAGGCTTCATCAGACCTACCAAAACTCAACAGCAGGATGAACTGTTGCCCCATGGCACAGCTTGCTAGACAGGTACAGTGCCCTGGGTTCAATGCCTGACACAGGTGGCAGGGATGGAGTGGAGATGGCAAAAATCAAACCTACTTTCTAAACACTTGATGTATGAGGTCGCTCAGCATCCATGTCCCTAGTTCCTGGAAAGGCCACTGCTTTCTTCCAGTGTGCACTACTCTAGCAATGAGCTGGCTGTTACCCCTGACTCCTGCTCCTTGCTCTCTTTTCCTCAGTCTTGTTTTCCTAGGTCGTAGGTTTTGCTAATTCTCAATTACTTCCTTCACTCTGCTGGTGTGTTTCTCGGTATCAGGTGACAGTTATTAGGTCTCAGGGTGTCTGAGCACATGACTGATGGGCAGTACAGTTACCTAATATTTTAAATTCAAACGATTATCCACCAGAATTTTGCATTGTTCCTTCTGAAAACGGCTGATAGATGCTAAAGGCATGAAATTCACTCCTGTGCATACTCACACTTTCGCAGTGCTTGATATTAAACCTAGGACCTGTGTCAGCCAGGTCTATACTCTGTGACTGACACACACTCCAGCCACACATACTCCATTGCATGTGCTGTGTCAGGTTTTCTCAATCATTTTAAATTTCATGCTAATATGGTTTTTATTATATTTTTAAAATCATTGTACAAGGCACAATCTATAGACTTAAAGTCTTTCAGTCTAGGAATCTAAGTCTCTCATATTATTTCCTTAATGATTCTCTAGGAGATTGTCTTGTATTATTTCTTCAGTAATTTCTCTAGGAAATGTCTCCTACAACACTTCCTCTTAGGGACTCATTTATTTTGAATGTTCAAACCACCAGTTTGATATTTAGCTTTTTCTGTCTCGTTTTCCATATGTGTTATTTGTTCTATTTTACTTGAGTTTGTTTTCCAGTCTATAATTTAAGGTTAAAAAAAAAAAAGCAGTAATTCCGTACGGTTCAGTCTCTCCCAGCCCTTTCTCCATCTTCAGTTTTCCTTCACAGGACACCTTCTTACAGATGCAGCATCATTTCTTACTTGAAGACATGTCAAAGTCTGTCTCAATTTCTCTGCCCATAGCCTTCGTATTTATTTCCTTAAGGCTGAGAATTTACATCAACAAATAGTCATTTTCACTGTCCTTTTGGTATTAAAGAACAAAGCACTGCAAACGTTTTTTAAAAGATATTTTATTTGTTTTGTGTGTACGAGTGTTTTTCTCTTCGTGTATACCTGTACACCATTAAGCATGGTGTTCACAGAGGTCAGAACAGGCATCAGATCACCCCGAAACTGAAGTTACAGACATTCATGAGGTACCCTATGGGTTCTGAGAATTGAACCAACGTCCTCTGCAAGAGCACGTGGTCGCTCCTAACTGCTGAGCCATCTCTCCAGCCGCCAGAGACTAACTGAAGCGCGGAATACAGAGCAAATTAATGCTGGAGGTGGTGCCATTTTTCTCCACGGCCTTAGAGTTTCTATTCAGTTGGCTACAAATATCTGAAATTGTAACAGTGTAATGGTAACAGAATGATACAGTGGTTTCTAACAGTTCCACAGCATGGAAAATAGAAATGCAGATCAGAAATTGGGGTTCAACCTGAAGATCTGAAAAACATATAGCCAGCCATTGGCTCTTATCTCTACCTCAGTTCAAAATGGCTATCCTGCCTCCAGGAATCTCAGAATGAGACTGAAGGAGAGCTGTCTCCGGGGCTTATATTCCTCTCTAGGGCTGGGATTAAAGGCGTGCACCACTGGGATTAAGGGCATGCACCGCCCAGTTTCTATGGTAAACTAGTGTGGCTACTGGGATTAAAGGTGTGAATTACCTACCACTGCCTGGTCTGTAAGGCTGACCAGTGTGACTGTTTTACTCGCTGCTCTTCAGGCAAGCTTTATTTATTAAAATATAAATGAAATATCACTATAATACCCCCAAATTATGAATGAACCCATACACATTAGGGAACATATTCCATATCACCCTACATCTACGTTCCTGTCGTACATGGTTCTTCATAGATGAGCACAAGAATTTGGTAGCATAAGAGAGAAGAAGGCTCGGTCAAACTGCAGAGCTCCTAACAAATAAATTCATGGGAACAAAAGCTCCTGATCCCTTTGCATAGTACTTGGTGTTTATGTGAAGAAACACGGACCCATTCACTATAAAAAGTACCCTCTTCTCATTTCTACTTTGCTCATAGTCATTAATTTGCATGGATTATAACTTGTAAAGTAATTCAAGGATTTTTCCATGTGATGATAAATATGAGGGACAGTTTTTTACAGAAAAAAGAAATGATCTACTGTGACATAAACCTACTTCTTTCTTCTTTAAGGACAATCAAAATCACATTTTAAAAATCATAGAAGCATGTATTTCCTTAGTAAGACTCAGAAGAATAGAACAACTTGCTAGATTAAGTCTGTGAACAGAAAGAAGTGTGTAAATAAGTTTCAATTAGCTAGTTTTACACTTGTCTTCTAACTAGTCATGATATAAAGAAATCCACAGATAAAAATAGAGGCAAAAGATAACAGATGAGAGTCCATGTCCCCCTGGAAATTAAAAATATCTTAGAAACTGCCTGTGAAACATGGCAAGAAATGAAGACAATTGGTCATTGTCCTAATTTTTGAATCAGGATGAATCTGGCAATAGCTGTCGGGTATTCCCAAAGGAAAGTCCCTTTCTGAACCCTCCCCCATTCTTCTCTATCAGTGTGCTCAGCACTGGCCAACACCTGCTTACTCTGGCTTCCCTGGTGGTGGTGGAGGGTGGGTTGTGACCAACCTTTAAAGGAACCACAACAAACTGGGATGTTCAAATGTGAATGTTTTAACTCAACAATCAATTCAAAATCTGGTCTGGTAACACAGGAGACAGAGTACTACAAACTGATGAAATGCCAATATTTAGAAGTAGAAACTGTTTAATTGTTTAAAAGTATGTAAGAGTATAAGTTGATTATTTATATCATAAAAGTAAAGTCTGCACCTCAATATCAGATAAGGCTCATCTATACATTAATTTAAAATATGTAAATGTTGCCACTTATAGTCTTGAAAATAATTTGATTCCTTAGGTAAGCCAACTAAAATCTCATTTACATTGTTAATTTGCCTAGCAAATAATTCTCAGTATGTAAAAATCAAAGAAGTTTGAAGCAAAGCAAATTCTAATTTTGTATCTTGTGATTTAAGTAAGAGGAAATGATGAAGGTGTAAAACAGAATATTATTACAAATATTTAAATGGTAATTCTGGGGAAACACTGTCTTTTTGAATCACTGAATTTTCAAAATTCTATTTTTTAAAAAATTTCATTTTCACAAATTTATTGAAGTAGTGAGTAACATGTATGCAATCACTGACTAGTATTCGCTTGAGTTTCAAAACCTTGTAATATTTATACTTTCTTAGTAGTTTTAGAAAGTAATTCTGAAACGTTGAAATAAAGATATTCAATGAGCTGCAATAACAGAGAAAATTGGACTCACCATTTTTTTCAGTCTTGTGTTTACTGCCAAAGCAGGTTTGTGAAATAACTTGGGAACAGAATAAAAACCCTGATGTACATCTGACTCATCAGTTTGGTTACGGGACTCTATTAGAACCTGGAGTGACTACATAGCATCTGCTAGCACTGGGTTGGAGTTTATGGAGTTTGGGGATATAGCTCAGTTGGTAAAGTGTTTACCTAGTATATGCCCTGGGTTTGATCTCTAGCACACACAAACCAGTTTGGTGGCACAAAAGACAACACAGGACAAGACATTTCAAGAGTCATTTTGTCTTGAATGAAAACATACATATATGCACTCCAAAATTTGATTTCTCAGGAAGACTTTCATGTAACTTAGACTGGCCAAAAGAGATAGCCAATTAGCCAAGGCTGGTCTCCCATTCCTCTAATCCTCTTCCTCTTTCCAAGCACTGGGAAGAGGAAATAAAGACCTTAAAACAATAGAAATGAAAACATAGACTGTCTATATATATATACACGATTTACAGTGAGAGTAGTACTTGGGAATTTTAAGGTTTAATGACTGTGTTTGGAAGATATAAAATCAATATTCTTAGCTTTCATTTCACAAAACCAACCAAGAGGAAGAAATCAAACCCTAAGTAAAACAGAGAGGAAATAAAGTATGAGGAGGAAACAATAAGAAAAAAAATCAATAAAAGTAAAAGACACATCTCGGAGAAACTAAAATTACTTAGGTTCTAACTAATCTGAGAAGAAAATAAGGAGATAACGTGATCAACTTCTGGCATGAAGACAGGACACCGTGACAGAACCTACTACCAACACTAATGTCACCTTGAGAATAGAATATACACAGTTTTATGCCAGTATTTACAACTTAGATGAAAGTGGAGAGTTCTTTAAATGATAAAAATGGACCTAAGAAGAAACAGAAAATCCGAAT